GACTGTAGAAATGTGGTTTTTTTATAAACTAGTGTTACTATTTTTGCATTTGATGTTTATACCAATTCGTTTGTGTTTTGGATCTCAAGCGTCTCTCAACATAGTAAATTTACTCTGAAGCTCCCTTCAGTTAGATTAAGCTAAAATATCACTAAACCGTAAAGCTTACTTAAGTGATTTCAACACCTAACCGATTTTGACAAATTTTAACAATGGTAACTACAAGAGTGCTACGTAAGCATAACTCTCATAAAATTGAACGGACTTTATTATGTTCGCTTGGCATTTTTGAGGTTATAAGATAAATCCATAAAAAGAAATGACAAAAAATATTTTTGGCGTTACTTCTAATCTTCATCATTCATCACTATATTGCTAATTATCTAAATGTCTAATGAACACTCGAATACTCTTTCCCATTTTTCGAAAAGAGGGTTTGAAGTGTATTCATAATTTTTTGCACATAACCTAAAATTTATTTCTCAAAATCTGTGAAATCCGTTTAATCATTTAGAAATCTGTGAAATTTGGTGAAATTCGTGAAATCTTTTGGTTATGTGAAAAAAAAAATTCTACATTTGCGAAAAAATATAGAGAAAACCCTACAAGAAACAACAAAAAGAGAAAACGAGACCTATAATTGAAAATACTCGTAAAATAAGCCGATTTCTTTTTAAAGTCGTTTTGGTGAGAATTTTTTTCGGAATTTCATTTAGCAATTGTATATTCGTATTTTTGTATTTTATTACAAGGGTAAAAACAGAAGATCTGTGTAACTTATGGTGGCAGTAAATACTGTAAAATTGAGGCACCTGAGATGGCAATGACATCTTCGAAGAGAAAGGAGTAAAGTCTGTTCATAGATATAAGAAAGTGACTAGCTGATACGAATTGAGGAAAGACCCGGGCAAGTTGTAAGAATGAAATATGGCCGAACAGGTCCGTACTTTGCTTAGAATTTAATTATTTGGGGTTTTGTTAGGAAAGATACTAACTAAACAATATTTATTTACTTATGTATGTATTTATGTTTAAATCTAAAATAAAATTACAAATTATTTTTATTACCTACTTAAATTACTTAAAATTATTCACATAATATATCAGTATCACTATCGCTATCATCGCCTGTTCTAATTATTATTTGTTCTATATTATTTGCAATATGGATATACGATTTTAGTCAACTGTCTACTGTGATAACTTGCATTGTCCATTACAATTACGCTATTAGGAGGAACGTTTGGAACAAGTTTGTTTTTAAACCAACTTTCAAATAAATCAGCGGTGGTGTCTTCATGGTAATCCAGAGAAGAATCTTAAATATTTTTCGCAGACAGAGAAAGTCCATTTGGAATCCAACCATCTTTAGAGCCAGCATGCAAAATAGTTATTCTTTTACCTCTTTTTGATGACGCGTTTGTTTTACACTTATCAGTTCAACCCAACCCTTTTCCAGGGTATCATAAGTGTCGAACCAGGATTCATCCAAGTAAATAATTGGCCTTTGTTGTTCTCTGTAAATCCTAATTTTTTCTAGATATTCCAGTCGCCATTTCCGAATTCTAAAATAATCCATTAAAACTTGCCTTCTAAAGATGCTTGCTTGCTGGCACCACATTCAATGAGAGTCAAATAAGCATTTTCTTGTCTGCATTAGTCTCAATAGAATAGTGTTTTCTACATATTTTGCATAATTCGCACAGGATTCAACACACGCTGTATTAGACACGAAATAAGAATGATTACTAATAAACTTAAACTAAGTAGTATAACCAAACCAAAGAATACTAAACACAGGTAGGTATAAAATTATTTTCTATTACGGACCACAATTTTACCTGAATTTAAATTCCGAAACTTTAGGTAATATTCTTGTTGCATTGTATGTTAATGACCACCCTTGGATAATCCCATTCAAAAGCAATTGGTAAGTTTTTTATATCTATGAACAGACCATACCTCTAAGATTCACACGCATTAACTCGCTCCAGCACGTAATCGACAGCGCCATATAACAAAACTTAATGGTTGAAATGAATGCAATTCAACATTTTTTGACATTGCCTTTAAAAATTCTACAACAGCATCAAGGTGCATACACAAAGCTAATTGAAAAGACCTTCGCCACTCTTGTCAAAACCACATTTAAATGGCATAAAAGTAAATCGTTCCTTTGACTATTTTCTTCTACGCGTATCACGTTCAGCCGCAGCGACACAATGTCGCTGAACCAACAGCCTTAATCGAGCCCCTAACATTAACTCAAACTTTCGTTTTCCTATGCGAAATCATGAACTTTAATCACAGTTATATAAAATATTATACAAATACGAAATTATTGTTCCGAACCTCCGAAAGTTAAGCAAGATAAACTTTTGTATTTATCACTCTTTGATGTACACCATGTGATGAATAAAACGACCCACTATACGATCTGGATACCCGTAGGAGATACGAAAAAAAGTTTCATACAAAAGTTTCTTGGACTCTCCCGAAGATTTAAAATATTATAATTTTGTTGATACAGGGTGTCCCAAAAGTGTCCCCTCCGACATCAACTTTGTTATTTTAAATGGAACACCTTGTGTATATCGACATTTTGAAATCCTTGGTTAAAATAAAGGTCACTTTCTTAAGAAATTGCTATTCGGATTTTGCATAGTGCAACGAATACGTATTGCAACGAAAATTTAACCACAGACTAACGAGATGACTGACTGACAGATGCGCGTCAGCTTATTCAGGGAGTCCCAAACTGGTGGTGTTGTTTTGGCGAATTTAATTAACAAAATCTCAAGATTTTCAAACCTATATTGTTATTCAGATATCAACTCTAGGACAAAAAACAAGATAAGTTTGTAATTTATCTTATATTTAAATTTTTCTTACTTTTTGAATTATTCGAGGTTTAAGATAACACCCGTATAAATTCTTGTTACGAATAAAAACTATTGAAATACAGGGTGTCCATTAATTATTGACAGATACGCCTAAACACAGGGTTTCCATTAATAGGTGGCTATTTTGAAAAAAATCGACTCTATACTACTATACTCTACTACTATACTATACTATACTATACTATACCACTATACTCTATAATTAAACTTCGGAATTCATATTTAAAGAAACATTTAACAGTTAATTATTAAGTTAAAAAAGTTCCTCCTAAAGTGCTCGTTCATCTGGCATCAAAACAACAAAGAAATATCACAAAGGCATTAAGCTATTGTTGTTTTTCATATTTCTAGATATTTCTATTTAAAAAGTTCAGTTGTCAAGTTTTTTGTTAGTATATATTTTATTTGTATTTTAACTAAGTTACAGTTTTTTGGTTACAATGTCGCAATATTCTGCTCATTAACAAAAAAAACATTATTCCATAGAATTATTCCGGACCTGTCAATCCACGGTATTCTAAAATACAGAAAGTGAGTGCCCTTTTATCAAAACAAACTGAATTGAACGTAATAGTACTGAATTTCCCGAAAATTCTTTGCAAGATGCAAGCAGGGACCTTGACTTAACTATTTCAGCTGCACGACGACGTATTTTAAAAAGCAGCAATATAAAATCTTATAAAGTTCTACCCATTTTTTTTTTAATTTAGACGGAAAGAATTTTTTAATTTTGCTTCACAATACAATAATGCCACAAGTACGCAACCTGCCCGACAACTTGCAGGGGAATATTATATTTCAGCAAGATAGCGCGCCCTATCATTGTGGTCAAGCGATAAATTTTTTAACAGTAAATTTCCAAAATATATTAGGTAAAAATTGTGTGTATAAATCGCGAAATAACTATACAACTGATGACCTTAAGGGAAAAAATAGACAAGAGATTCTTGCGTTAAATAATAGTGTATGGCAGAAGGACAATATATTGAAAACATAAATATATTGCAGCTTTTTTTAAATTATTTGTTCCTGTTTTTTTTTTTGTAGATTTATTTATTCAAACTTGTTACCTTGTTTAGTTGGCCTATAAAATTTAATTATTTATTTTAGTTATTAGGTATTTTCGATCAAACTAGATAATTAACTACTCAATGTTTCCCTAAATATGAATTTTGAAGTTTTATTAAATCTGTTTAAGTGTGTAGTATAGAGTAGATTTTTTTTTTCAAAATTTCCACGTATTAATGGACATCCTGTATTGTTAGCAATAGTTTTTATTCGTATATCTGGAGTATTATAACTTTTAAAGAAGTAGTATCATGTCTTTGCTATTTAAAACATACGTAATATTGGCAACAAGTGATTTAATGTGGGTAGCTTTAAATTCAACAAGTATTTATACGGGTGTTATCTAAAACTTCGAATATCTCAAAAAGCAAGCAAAATTTAAATATAAGAAAAATTACAAATTTACATTATTTTTTGTTTGAAAATCTTGAGATTTTCTTAATTTAAATCGTCAAAACGGCACCACCTATTTGGGGCCGCTGTATAGGCTGAGGCGCATCTGTCAAACTGTTTGAGTATTGCATCATCTCCTTAATCTGTGGTTAAATTTTCGTGGCAATACCTGGATCAGTAGCGTCACAACACAATTTTATATGGGGCTATCAAAATATGAAAAAAACATAACCTCAAACTATGCAAAATTTGAATAGGAATTTCTCAAAAAGTGACCTTTATTATTAAAATTTATTAAATTAAATTATTTAAAATAACAAAGTAGATGTCGGGGGACACTATTGGGACACCCTGTATCATCATTATAATATTTTAAATCTTCAGTAGAGTCCAAAAAACTTTTGCACGAAATTTTTTTCTTATCTGCTATGGGTTTCCAGGTCGTAGAATGGGTCGTTTTATTTGGCACACAGTGTACTCTTTTTTTACAAAAAATAATTAGTCACGTTTGTGACGGCAGCAATTTGCATTTTATTCGGATAACCGAGCGCCTCTCAACAGGTATTTTACGCTAGGAAACTAAACAAGCATATTGTAATACCTTCACCCGCAATAATACAAACACAACGTTCTCACCTCGATAAACAAAAATAAACCCTTGGTTTGCATCCATGCATGTAGCGGTTAGTTATTAGAAATTATCACAGGTCAGTTCGAAAGTCCTCATAAAAATGCACCGTTTGACACACATATTTTCGAATGTGTTTTTAGGTTATATTTTAGCGAGTCGCAAGCCCGCCGCACACAGCGCTCCACCAACGGACTGCACGACGCGAAGAAACAGTTTCCTGGTTAAGGTCCATTGCATTTTGCCACACATTTTGCTGTACGGCTAGGTTGGAAACGATTTCTCGTGCACTCCTCTTTTTTCATTTTGGTGTGTGTGGGTCTATCGCTGCAATAAAATCGTGCCCGACTTTTGTTAGGATTTGTGAATTCCAAGCAAAAGCTGTTCAGCAGGCCTACACACCTTTAGAATCCTTTTTATGTAATTTATGTATTATTTGAAAATAAAACAAACGTTCAAGTTATTGAAATTAAGATTTATTTTTTAAATGTTGTTTTATTGATCTGTAATGAGAAATTGTACTAATAAAAGAGACCTTAAGAATATTTTTAATAAAAACTATTCAAATTTAAAAAAAAATTAATTAACAACTCAATTGGCACTTGGTACCATAATTTCGAGTCTCGATTCTCGATTCAATTTTAGAAAAAAAAAAAATTCTTGTTACGCTACTTGGTCATTAAACCCGAAGTGTTTTATATTTGTTTGTCCTTTTTTATTTTTCTATAGCTCCTTTCTTCTATGCTTGGTCCAAAACAAAATCTCATGCACGCCTTCAAATAGAAAATTGACCTTGTTGCCAAGGTGTTATGAGAATATTGATAATATATAATAATTAATTGTGACTATCTACCTCTTTGTGAAAATGAAAATTTCATCCGCATTTTTTATTCAATTATTTTTGGTTAGTTTCTATCTATAGTCCATGCCAAATATTTTTTTAAAAATATCATCAAACTCAACGAAGCGTTGCTGTCATTTACATATTTTCCTTTAACCAATGTAATCCTTAAAATATAAGCAACGTTTCAGAGCTTGAATCGCAATAAAAAAACAACAGTATTCATGAATACTTCTAAATATTAATTATTAGATATTATGAATATTTGCATAGATGGAGAATATCGTTATTTACTGTCTGTCACTGAAATCACTAAAGAATATGTATGTAATGTCTGTGTATGTGCAATGGAATTTTTCCACACTGCGTCTTGCCACATTTTTAAACAACCACGTTAGGTTTCTGCCAAAATGTAGGTTATAAAGGTTATAATATTTGTTTGTAATGTTAAAAATCCTTTCAATTGAGTTAAAAAGTACAGGGGCATTGTAGACAACAAAGAATGTTTTCCTGTTCTATTTCCCCACAATGACGAAATGATGAAGAAAAACGGAACCACGAACCACTACTTGAAAAGTAAAACCATTACCGTTTTACCCATATAAGATTTGTTTTGTAAATTTTCCTTTAATGATTGTGTATAAGCACACAATTTTATCGACATGGTACGACCACACATTTACCAATGTACGCTTGTGGCTGTTCCCTAGCACGCTAACGTTCCCATTATCATTATCCTTATCAATAAGGGCGTTAAGGTAGGTATTTATAGCGTGTCAGCATTAGTAGGCTAAAATATTATTTTTTTTTAGCTACCCATTGAAAACATATGTAATGAACCTGAATGGAAAGGAAACACAGTTTTAACAAAATCCTATATTTTTTAAAATAAATCATAGTGTTCCTTGTTACCTGAAGATAAAATACGATACGAAATACGACTGGCGCATTCGCCATAAATGTAATATTTTTTTTGCTTCATTTGTTTTTGGTCACTCCATATCTGCAAATTGGATTTAACTCGTAGTTCTGTTTGGTAGCATATTTTATGTCATTGCGTGAGTTTTTCCTTTAATTTAGTTAAGGAGAACGGTAAGGGCAGTACAATTCAATCCCTTTCACGCATTAAAAAGAAGTATGTTTGAAATATATCATTGTTCACTCTGTTTTTATTTCTAAGATACGAAATAAAATAGTATATTTTTCAACAAGTGCAGTGACATTTGAGACACGAACGGAGCGCAGCGGAGCGAGTGTTACGAGTGACTTAAATAGTTTACCATACTATACTTTTTCTAAGACCGTTATTTTTAGGTACATTTTTGCAATACAACACGAATACATTAACTGACGTGGCCATCAGAATTGACAAACGTCAAAATCCAAGCCGTGCAGTAAAATTTCCGAAAACATCCGATTGCTCCCAAACCCGTGCGGTAAAATCCCGGAAATGTCCGAAGTGGCTTGGATCCGTGGCAAACGAAACTGACACATTTAAATGACACTTCCCGCACATTAGATCAGTGTATAATTAGATATTTTGCAGAAGGGAATAGAAAACCCTTACTTTGCCGCCATCGTTGTATCGATTGAGTTTTGATCCAACGTATATATAACACAGCCTAACAAAAAAAATTTTTTTTTATGTTTCTGTTCTCATACGTTAATTTTAAGCATTGAAAAACATTGAAATTTCATTTTTAGTTCATAAAGTTTGCTATTGTCTGATTTACGTCTATAAGTATACTTTAATTTATTTTATAAGACTTTGAATGACCTGAAAATAAACTGTGTTATTATTTGTAAGTAGTATCAAAGTTACTAAGTAAATGGGCTATCTCAGCTGCAACAATTCTATTTGTGTATTACTTAGTGGTACACTTATTACAGACTGGCGCATTCGCCGTAAATGTAATAAAAAATTTTTGCGTCATTTGTTTTTGGTCACTTCCTATCAACGAATTTTATTTAACTCGTAGTCCCGTTTGGCAGCATATTTTATGTCATTGCATGAGTTTTTCCTTAAATTTAGTTAAGCAGAACGGTAAGGGTAGTACAATTCAAACAGCTTCACGCATTAAAACAAAGTATGTTTTCATTATATCATTGTTCCCCCTATTTTCATTTTCAAGATACGAAATTAAATAGTATATTATGCAAAAAGTGCGGTAAATAGTATTTGATCCAAATCCAAACAAACACGAACAATTTAAAACAATTACATACATAGGAGAACCCAGTGAAAAAGTTTATTAATCAATGTAATTTTCTTAGAGTAGTAATTAATAAGAATGATCAATAGATAGGGCTAACAGGCTACTATCGATATCATGAAATTCAAAAAACAGCCTTTATAGGTAGCCTAGAGAAATATTATTCAAACCTTGATAAATGCGTGACTGAAATTTTATAATACAATTACAGTATTTTTCATCATATAAAAATATATCAATTTACTTTGGTATCTAAATAACGCAAATATGAAACTGTAAATAAAAACAAATTCTTTGAAAATGGTAGGATATTCTTAAAATTTAACGTTTACTAATATGAAACTATAACTGAAACTGAAAGTAAGTTTTTTTATTGGTTATTGTTGGTTTATTGGTTACACACTTTCATGACATTTGGAAGAGCCTAAATCGATCGATCGGTAATTCCCATATTTGGGAAATAGTGTAGTAAAAAAAGCCGCCTCCTCGACTTAGAACCAACCAAACCTGAATGAAACCATTTGACCGTGAAACCGAGTTTTGTAGAATCGAAAAAGCTGGCAAAAATGCGAAAATTTAAAAAAATATATACTTTTTTTTCATTCTCCAATAATTCAAACATAAACAATGATTTTTTGTTTGACTTGAAGACCATACATAAGCTATAATGACAAAGGCGATATAATTTTCAGGTTTTTTTATTTTCAAACCGAATTTCACTAGCCGTCTTATATCATGGCAATTTGTTCAGGGTAGACGAGACATTTCAAATGACAATACGTGCTCTCAGAAAGTTTGTGCTATCTTACATTTACCACAGTGTTTGGTAGTTGAGAAGAGTTTGATGGTTTCACTAGTGTTGACGTTTGTTTTTCAAAATTTTGAATATGTTTCTGGGTACAGATGAGGGATGGCAGACTTTGTCATGGATTTTATTAATAGTTGAGATTTTGAAGATTTTAGAGCTATGCGTTTAAGCTTTGAAATATTACATTTAGGAGGTGGTGATGATATCCTTTATTGCGGTAATACGTCTGCCAAGGACGAACTCGGAACCTTTTACAGGAACTGGTACTTGAAAAGAATTTGATGGTTTCACTAGTGTTGACGTTAGTTTTTCAAATGTGGGATGAATCGAACTTTCCTGTTCTTTTAAAGATAGGCCGCATGTGCTTTAACCGACCACTGTCATGATGGCAGTATCCTATTAGGCTTCGTAAAGCTGACATGTCACTTTCGGTCCTGAAGTGTCCAAAATCTTGCAATTACAATTAGTATCCTTGCTTGCGACAGACTTGTCCTTTTAACAAGATAAATAGCCACATGGACAAGTAAACTGCCTTAACCTTAAAATGTTCATTAAGAGTAAATGGCATCTTTCAACTCTATGACTTATTTTGTAGAATATTCAACATCAGTACCGTTAAATATAGTCCTCATCAAATTAGTGTACATCCCTACAAGTGTACACGCAATTTTTTGTTGTACGAACGCAACTCGAACGACGAATGAAAACTTATTAGTTTCTGTTGAAATTTTTTGTAGAGAAAAAAATTAAATATATTCTTAAAAACGAATCCTACGCTATCTATGGAAAGCAACCTTAAATCTACCATTGAAGCTTCTTCGCGTAGCGCGTAGAACGATGACGTACAAGTGCTCTCGTTGATTTACAATTTCAATCCGAAATATACGGCAAAGAATAACAGTTGCTACGAGCAAATTTATACCTTGTTAAAAAAAAGATTTCCATTCAAAACTATTTACAAAACTTGTGTTGGCCTCTTCAGAGCTAAATTGGCTCGTATTCTACTCTATATCTGCTTATTAGGCTGTCCATTATTTCCCAAATTGGGTTTTTTTTCAAACGCCCCCCAAACTTTTAGATTGTGACCTAAAAAAAATATCAGATCCATATCAGCCCTTAATCATAATCCGTTTCCCATTTAAATAACACGGGAATTTCGCCCATTTTGCAGCTAATTTTTTTTTATCGGAACAAATGTAGAACATATTTTGTCGGAAATTCCACTCTCTACAAAAAAGGTCTGAATACTTTTTTCGATAAATTCAACTCTGTAAAAGTTATTCAAAGATTAACGTTAATTAATTAATTAATTAAAAGAACGTTAAGATTGAAACACCAACTGCCATATTTCATAATGAGAAACTCACCCTACTCCTACAAGACACTTGCCTGCGGTTCGGAAAATAAGTTTAAAAACGACCTAAAAATAATGAAGACGCGACCAAATATATGGATCTCAGTGGAAAAGAGATAAGATGAGACAAAACTTTTCTATC